AGTTAGGTTGAGGACTTGTGGATCCACCTTTAATGGAACTTGGGTTTTGTGTGCCCAGTCACCTTTTTCTTTGAGTGCGGTGTGATGCTCTTGTAGATTATACTTTAATTGCTGATGACCAGAATTAAATTCTAATTGGCTGTTTTGCTCATGAACAGCTCTTGAATAAAATGTCAAGATGGCACAAAGTTACAACACTTGTTTATTATAATTTGTGATCTCTTCTACCAGAGGTTTAAAAATGAGCGTTATCTTCCCTTTTCTTGTAAATATTATATGTTTAGAGGATAGTGTAGGGACAGACAGGTTTAGTGAATTTCTTTATTTATTTTTTACACAAACATGATGATTTCTAGACCAGGTTTAGAAGGGATGAGCTTTGCTTCATTGCATCTGATAAAGTAATCCAGCTCCCCCTTTTGTTCTAGGTCTGGTGTTCTACTGAAGCTACTGTGTTCTGGGCCGATGGTGGGTCTCTCTTTCAAGCAATTTACTAGTGGTGCCATTGGAGAATGCTTCGGCGTTTGCCACCAAGAAGAACGTCTATTATTGTTGTGGCGTCATGGTGAAATGCTGTATTGACACGCAGATCTTGTGAATACAATCCTTGGGAATACATGTATCCCATCCCTACAGGTCTCAGTTCACTGAAAATCTCTGTTAGTTACATTTATCAGCGAGATCTGTTTATCACCTGTAATTTAATAAATCATTTAATTGAATGAATCAGTTTAAATCAGTAATGACTGGCCAAATGAATGAAGTGGTTAATTCAATAAACCAGTTAATTTTGGTAATTTACAGCCATTATACAAAATGTAGGCCATGATAACCTAGTCATAAAGAACTGAAAATAGGAATTTATTCAATTAAACTATCTTTACCGACATTTTTAGGTCATCATATTTCACAGTAAAAATGAATTTGTGAATTTCTGATGACTTGTATTTTAAAAGTAACAAAAATGCCCTGTTTCAGAGGGTATCTCATCCAATTCTTATTTTCAAGGTTAACAGTCTTGCTTCAGACTCTTGTTGGAAGCAATATGACACGAGAGGCACACAACTTTTGTTGGCTTCCCTTCCAATTCCCCAGTTATGGGATGAAGCTGCGCAATATGTATCTTGACTCCATCGGGTGACTATACATCTTGATCTATGGATTTGTCTTTTAAATAAACGTTCGGAAGAGCTTACAAAGAGTGCTTTATCTACCAGACACTAGATAAACAACAGCAGAAATATGGAGCATTCCACAGAAAACCAAACAGTCTATAGTCCAAAATGATGGATGTAGCTGAGATGGAAAAAACTAATAGCTCAAGTGCATCATACTTTAAAAGCCTACCATAAATATGGGACTTCTGGCAACAAAACTCTCATCTCCTCACCACTTCTAACTCTTAATTCCATTATCCATGCCAGATTTCTGTTCAGTGGTCCGTTTGTATCACAACCCATGCTATGGTTTTAAATAAAGCTGTATTAAAAACAGTGTCCATGAATTGATATTGAATGATGCTTTAATAAACAAGTACTGGAGTAGATTCAGGCAGATTTAGAAGAGTATAACAAAAATGGTGACACTGTACGAACATACTCTGAGCTTCATTTACAACAGTGAGTTGTGGTAGTTTGATAATTAGTTTGCAAAATGTAGGTCAAATAATCGCATTACAAACAAATTCCATCTTGAGGTGAATATTCCTAAAAAAAAAAAGAATTGGGTTAAATTTGACTAAAACTCGGTTGACAGCAGTCATTTCAGCTAAACTGTGAACTATTTAATAAAAACCAAATGTGGAAAATAAATATATGCCAAACTGATTACATTTTATAATTATCCTTATTGAAATACATCCTATATCCCTCTTGATGCTATTATATCATGGCCATAGTTTGATAATGTAGAGGAAAAGCAAACATAACATTAACACTAAATTAAGCCTGGCTTTCAAACTCCCGAACTGCTTGGCAGAAGCAACGGCTACGGTATTCATCAGCCCAGAACAAAAGCAAAAATAAATGTTACCTGCGCACTATTGCAAAACCAATGGTAAAATGTTCATTAAAGTGTAAGCTCACCTATCCTATCAAGGCAAATCTCTTAGGTGAGTCCTACACTAGAAATTAATCTTCTGCTTCCAGCTGAAAACAGGTGCACCTTGCAAGATGTGTGACTGTGCCTACTCGGACTAACTGGAAATCTGGCTCTGTTGAGATTCAGCAGTCCATGTTCTAGAACTTCACTGATCTGTGATGAGAAATAGGAGCTACAATGTTTGTGTTTGGCTGAACATAAAAATAATGAATATTGAATTTTTCAATGAGCAGAAAGCTAGAATTTTAAGAGTTTTTTAAAATTTATAGCTGGTAAATGGAAACGCTGCTTTCAAAAAAAAAAAAATTCTGCACACCTAATGGAATATGCTGAACACATTCATTTGCAGAGTCTCTGAATGCCTTCTAGCAACCAAATATAAGAAAAATACATTTAAAAATCAATAATATATTTTAGGATACATCTCCTAGTCTTATAACTAAAAGTGAAAAATAAAAACAAAATAGTGAGGCCTACAGCAGGCCTATAAAGAAAACCAGAATTAAAAAAACACCTTAATATTGGCATATTGTAAACCAATGCAATATATAGATAGCAAGTAAGCAACTCATAAAACCGTCAATATGATCAAGATATTTACTGGAGTTTTAGTAGGTTTTTTTTTCCACCCAGAAGTACTTAGGGGGTTTAGTGTAGAGATATCCGTGCCACTGTTTTTAATAATTTAGGATTCTTTTCTTTTAAGAATCGTACTAGAGGATTGGAGAAAACGAGATGTGGTGCTTGTTTTTATATGGGTCCAAAAGCTCAACCTGGAAACTACAGACCTGTGAACTTAACATCTGTGTTTTGGAAACAATTTGAAGTACTGTTAATGGATAATATTCAAAAATATATTTTGAACTACAATATAATTAGCATGAATCACCATGGTTTCATGAGGGACGGTCCATGCCAAACTAACTTATGGGGATTTTATGAAGAAGTTAGTAGAACTATAGATCAGGGTGAAGCAGCAGTTGTGATATAGTTGGAATTTGCTAAGGCATTTGATACAGTTCCACAAAAAAGATTACTATTAAAACTGAAATCAATTGGTTTAGATGAACACTGGCTTAAAGATAGAGTGCAAAGAGTAGTTGCAAATGGAAAATTTTCAAATTGGACGAAAGAGGTAAGTGGAGTGCCTCTAGGTTCTGTCCTGGGTCCACTTCTCATGCATTTTGGAATAAAGAGCCCACAAGAAATGTATACATTAAATGGGGTTGAGGTTGGGATAACATTAAATGAAAAGGACTTTGGAACAATTATAGATGACAAACTAGGCAACAGTCTGCCATTGCAAAAGCTAGTAAGGCACTGTCATGTATGAAAAGGGATATTGATTTAAGTGATTAAAATATAATTTTGCCTCTTTAGAAATCAATGGTGAGACCCCACCCTGAGTATGCAGAGCAATTTTTCACACCAGTTTTAAAGGATATTACAGAACTATAAAAAGTGCAGAGATGAGCTACTCAATTAATAAGGAGGATGAAAAACATTAGTTATGAAGAAAGACTAGAACGTCTGAATGGTCTTTTAGACAAAAAGGAGCCTCAGAGAAGATATGATAGAACTATACAAATATATACAGGGTCAGTACAAACCGCTATGTGCTATCCTGTTCATTAGTAGAAATATAAAACAGACAAGAGGTCACCCATTGAGACTGGAAGAAATGTTATTTAGCTTACAAAAGAGAAAAGGGCTAGTTACAGTAAAAACAAGAGAGAGGTGGAATTCTCTGCCAAAGGAAGTTGTCTTAACAATTCAATAGATATTTATATATATATATAAAAAAAAAGACATGGATATTTTTTGCAAAAACAGAATATTCAAGGATAAAATTAATATGTATACGAGCAGGTCATTAATCCAATGACACAGCTGATTGACATTATGAAGACAGGAATTGTTTTTTTAAATTTTTGTAGCATAATTGCAAATGGCTGTGATTGTGTTTTTTACCTTCTTTCGGATCAACAGCATAGGATTTGAGTATTTTTTTCAATCTATATTACTAAGTAACCATGTAGTACACCATCTCTGGGAACGCCCTCAGGATATGTATATGATGCCCAGAAGTGTAATGAAAAATGTACAGTCTCTCTCTTGTGTGTCTTATTTCATATACTTCCAGGATAGAAATCAATCTGGGCTTTACTAACAAGTTAAAACCAATGTATGAACCAATGTGTCTAAAGAAGCCTTGTGTTTTTGTTTTTTTTAATTTAATAAATATTTCAACACTTTTGTGACTTTCTATATCTCTTTTTATTAAGAGCATAGTATGGGTGAGAGATTACAAAGATAAAGAGTTAGACTGGAGGAATACAATCCCAGAGCTGGTATATTTTGAGCTATTTTTCAGAATTGCCATGTGAGTTTGATATCTTCTGGGAAGTGGTCTTCTGTGGTGTATAAGAACCACACAGACCACTTTATAGTTTTTTACGTTTCTTTCCACATGTATACATTTTGAATACCTGATTGATTAAATCGAGGGTGTAGGGCCGAGCCAGCTTGGTGAACAGACACGCTGTATGTGAGCTCCACACAAATTGACTAAAAAATATTTTTCCCTTTCCCTCCCTCTTGACTGGTGAGGGATATCCTGTTCCCCCCCAGGTACAGCTAATGCAATTTCAGAGGTGCACAGGTTGATATTTACCCTGACACAGCAATACATGTGGCATAATCAAGATGGCCACCACACCGACCCTCTGCCGATGCCTCAATTGGAACTCAGGTTTCTGGCAACCTTTTATGCAGTGTTCACAGCATTCTGATGTTGGACTGACCCCCGTCACAAACAACAAATTCTTACCTTGCCTGAGAATGCGGTGGTTCTAGGCGGCATCACTGCAAGCCTCTCATTTTCTGGGCCTGGAGCAAAGATGGATATCGCACCCGTCAACCACCCACAGCCTTGTGGGACAGCTTACGAAGTGAAAGTCGTGCGGGATGCTGACCCTATCGCAAGAGCGGGAATGTCTTGTGGTCTACAGGCACTGGTGCCCGAGCAGGCATGGCTTTGGAGAGCGGAGAAGCGGAAACATCCCTGTAATGCTCATCGTGGACAAGAGGGCCCCCAGAGTGGCAGTGGAAGTGCTATGTGGTAATTTCTACCACAAAGTGAATCCTGTCCCTAACTGAAGTGTGTCTGTGTCATTGGCCACGATAATTAAACTTTCAGAACATTGCTCACAACCAGATAAGCGTTCCAGTTCCACTTTTGTTTTTACTTTTAGTATATGATGGCTACACCACAGTCTGATCATAAAAAACTTGACCTTTCATGCCTTGCTAGTAGCTAGTCTAATACTGTTCATGCAGATATTGTTTATACCTGTGAATAATCACAGCTTGTTTAAACTTCTGTAGAATTAGTCTGACTACCCTATTGTCGAAACATGTCAGCATGTCTTTCTATCCTGATAATTTCACACCATACTAACTTAGACATGTACAACCTCGCTTATTTATACACTACAGAAAAATGTGCAGTATACCAGAATGCCATGCAATTCTTTCCCTATAATGTTTTTTTATTTTTTTATTTACTTGATATCGCTGTTGTGGCGTTACACATTTGCTTGTATTTCCTTGAACAACAAAAATAAAGAATTTAAAAAAATAAATGATTACATTGAATATTATGTTTACTTTGTCTTTACTACTGCATGCTTATAGGGGCCCGCTGTGGTTGTACTGGTGTATTGGTGTTAGCACAGCTCCTAGTATATTTTATTTTATATATTATATGTTGTTTTTCACATATATATTGTAGTGTAGAGAGCAGATGCACTGAGGTATTTTTACAACCAATAATAAGTATGTCAACATGATTACTATTAGCATTAAGGGGCATTGTTTTGGTTTGTCTTAAGAGATAAAATGAAAAAAAACCTGACCAACTACTATTTCCCAAACTGTACAAATATTCCCAAAACTAATACTAATAAGAATTGAAGAATATAATGATGCACCTTATTATGAGAGTAATATAAAATAAAACCTGTGTATTACTTAAAATAGTAAAATAATAGAAAAGTAAGGAAAAAGTAAACACCACTTAATATACAGTGTATATCATCTAGAGTAGACAATGAAATATGAAAATGTACTTAATCAACCTCATGGAACATATACATTGAATATCATTGACCCAAATGGAACACGGTGTATTTCATTCATTGATCAGATGGAACATATCAAGTGTATATCATTGACTTAATGGAATATAGAGTGTATATCACTGACCAAATAGTATATACAGTGTATATCATCAACCTAATTGAACATATACTGTGTATATATCATTGATATAATGGAATATATCAAATGTATATCACTGGCAAAATAGAATACACAATGTATATCATTGACCTAGTGGGAACAGGATTTTGGATCGTAAGTGCTGTTCTGCCATTTCTGTTCATTCTGTACTTCACTATCTGTTATGACATAGGTGAATGTTAAACAACTGTTAATATCTGACTTCAGTCTTACAATACTTTTTTTCTTTTTATATTTAATAAGTTATAGTTAATTGTTGTTGCCTGGTTTATGAATTCATGGTTTATTCATGTATTTTACTACATAAGAGCTAAAGAATGGACGTTACCATCTAATTGGTGTGTTTTATTAATGGGAATGGAAAATGATTTTGAAAAGGCAGTGGAATAATGGAAAAAATTTAAAAAAATATATTAAAGGCTTGAAATGGGTCAATGTTGCAGCATTACGAGGGCACAGAGGAAGTATTATTTACAGAGTACTCTTTTGCCAAAGAGCGGGATATATGTCGGGATGATGGCTTCCAAGGTGGTACAGGACTATTTATGATAATCTGTTTTTTTCTGTCCAAAGGGCCATTCCCTTCATCATATTCTATTAAAAGATAATTTCCATATTTTATTATATCCCTTAAGATTTTATTTAGATTTTGAACTAAAAAAAAAAACCTACAAGTTCTTGTCTTTCTGATTTAATCTCAACAGATCAAATTAGGACGCTCGTGCCCAGACTATAAATTAAGGGGGGAAAAAGACTAAACAAATATAAAAACCTATTGAGAAAAACAATGGATAGAAAGACGCATACGATTAAACAGTTAAGGACACTAATTAAAATTCTGCATTGAAATAGGCAATTTATTACATAGGGTCTGGTTTACCAATTGACCCAGTTTATGAAATAAGACTTTAGGCGCAGAATTACATCCGTCGAGGGGCACGCTGGTGCTTAATTGTAAACCTGTTTTTTATGCTAAGTATTTGTGCTCCCTAATTTGCTCATATAAATACTTGCATGTGTATTTGCTCATTAAGCAAATTGGGACAAAATGAGACATCTTAAAACGGCTTAATTTGCATAAGCTGATCTACGTTCTGTAAATAGAGGGGCTTATGCAAATTAATTTTTTGCCGCACATGTAAATGCCCTATTTCTTTATAAATTCCTTTTATCTTCTATATATTTTCATTTCTTTTTCAATGGAGACTTAAAGGTTTTACAAACACTTAGCCGTTGATTAATGTTAAGCTTAGCAAGGTGCAGATTTTCTCTAACATTACCAATTGGCTGCTAATATCCTTTAATAGTTATAATTTTCTGGATATTGTATTCTTGTAAAAAATCTTATAATGTTTGCAGTATTCCAAATCTCCTGATATTTCAATAAAAAAAAGGTCAACAATGTTAAAACAAACAAGAAAAAAAACACAATTTTTTCAATTGCATCACAATTAATTAAAACAATCAAAAACAACTTACTATAATGTATTCACATAATGCAATGTCTTATAGTCAAATATAATAATTTAAATAAAAAACTTCAGACTCTATGGTAGAATTTCAATTATTCAGTAGATATCTGCTATTAAGTAATGTAAACTTGAAGTAGCTCTTATTTTCTATAGACCAAGTGAATGAATGTATATAATTAGAACATTTTCATCAAATAGCAAGCTTTAAAAGGTGACAATGATTATAGTGACTCACTGGCACAGTTGCTGCATAAGAACACATTGGCTTCACTACTGCCATTAGCAATAGCAGCATTTAACAGTACACTACACAGAGAAAAATTGGGGTAAGATTAATTTTACCCCCACCTTACCCTTGAGCGTAGTGGAACACTATTGCATGAGGAATACAAATGTTCTTATAGATGTTTAGGCGAGTCTCTCCTTGGCAGACATCTTCAATCTTGATGTTCCCAGCCCCTAGGAAAGCATTGAAAGGCTTGTGCGCATACGAGGCAAAATGCCACACTGCACCAATCAGATGGTCTCAATGATACAATATAGATTTTTTTTTTTACTGCTTATACTCTTTTTCACTATATTGGTTACTTTTTCTCACTTGATCTGTGAGTCAAAAGCGGCTATCAGTGTACTCTAAAATACATAATATTTCCATTTTGCAGTATACTTATTGGCCATTTCTTTTTTTTTCCCGAAATAACTGCATGGGCGAAATTCGTCCAAACGGAAACGCCATATAGACGATACCCGATTTGCCCCCAATTTTTTTTTTTTTCAAACAAATCCAATTTTTTTCACCTTGTTCAAGTCACTACCTGGATTTTGTGATTCTATTTCATCTCTAATGTTGTCTGCATAGCTCACATGAATACACTAGATACATTTTTTGTGGGGCCCCTTACACAGCTCAAGGCCTTGACCCCAGGGCCCGCCCTCATTCCACCACCATCTCACAGGCACTTAGAGCTGTAGTCAGTGCCGTCCTTGGTCCTCTTGCGGGATATATTGAGTGTAGGCATATGAGATATAGTGAATGTAAAGGGGCTGTAGTGTGTACATGTACATTAATACAAGTTTAATAGATTAATATTCGTGTATATATTATAAACAATTATTCTTATAATATATACACATGTAAATATTGATAAAATACACTTCTTTTAATATACATGTGTACATTAGGTAAAACTATAAAAAAAATTTTTACTACACTCCATCTCGCTCTCTCCCCCCAGCTCCATCTCACTCAGTCCCCTCAAACTCCATCTCCCTTACCCACAAACTGCACCTCCCTCTCTCACCCAGGCTCCTTCTCCCTCTCCCACAATCTCCATCTTGCTTTCTCTCCCAAGCTTCATCTCCCTCTCTCCCACCAACTCATCTAGACAATGAAATATGAAATGTACTTTATCAACCTCATGGACCATAAACATTGAATATCATTGACCCTCTCTCCTCTGAGATCAATCTCACACCCAGCTACCTCTCGGTTTTCCAGCTCCATCTCCCTCTCAAACCCTGCTCTTCATACACTCTAATAGTGGAAAGCCATCTGCACTCTGCCAGAACCCCAGGTATGCCAGGCCCTGTACATCTGTATGGGTTGTAAGCCCATGATGATAATCCTGTTGGCACCATTTTGATAGCCAACTCCAAGGGAGACTCCATAAAAGTACAGTTACATGTATTTTATAATATTAATGTATTAATATCATCTATTGCATTTATATTCTTTTATTAATAACTAATTTAACAAATTATATCTGGCTGATTCTACTGGTGTGATACTTATTGTGTAACACTTCTTTAATTGGAACTCAACTGCAGAATTTTCTGAGTGCAGGAACAATAAGTTTCACCTCCTTTTGTATTGAAGTGAAACAATGGTGACTGCATCTTTAAATAAATAAGCAGGAAAAATGCAAAGTTAGTTCCAACTTGAATAAGATGGAATAATTTATGAGTAATTTAATAATGAAGTTGGACAGGCTTGCAGTTTGAATAAATTGATATTGGTAGGAAGAATTAGCCTTAGCAACAATCCATATTTGTTAAGTGAGAGATTAGAGAAATTAAATACTACAAAATAATTGATATGACTTGGTTTCCTTGGCAAAAGATTTACTTAACTTAGAGGCAGTCTGGCACTGGAAGGGTTAATTCACCCAATGGAGGAGAAGATAGGAGTCTCTTTTAACAAACTGAAAATCAGGAGTGGAGAGAAAGGAAGTCCGTTTTTGCAAGCTGAGGTCTGGAAGAGGAGAAGGTAGGAGTCCGTTTACAAGCCGAGGTCTGAGAGAGGAGAAGGTAGAAATCCGTTTACAAGCCGAGGTCTGGGAGAGGAGAAGGTA